TGATGTCATTTAATTTCTCACACAGATGCTAAATAAACTTCACTGAATAACTGAAATTGATTCATTTAATAAAATATTTTATTAAATTTCTCACACATTTTAAAGAAGACAATACCAGTATGGAAAATATGTCTAATTAATATTTCATTTCAGTATAGTATACTGACATTAGCTCTGTTAGCAGAATTTATCACAGATCTTTGCATCAGAGGAGAATCAAAGCATATCAAAACAAAAATGGACTAAAAATAAAGGCCTTTAAATCTACTGTCATTAGTTCTGTCATCCCTATAAGGTTAATGGGTTGGAAAAATGGTCAGTCTTTGGAACCAAAGTTGGTATTTAATTAAAAGGAACTGCTTTTTTAATTGTAATTTCTTCAGTTTTTAAAAAACACTGGCATGAATATGAAAAAGGACTCTAGAGGGTACAATGAGGGTTCAGATTCATCTGCTTGCTAATAACAAAACAATAAATATTTGAATAAATAAAAACGCTCCTTTCCTTGTGTTATAAATGAATCATACTGAAAGAAAGATATTTTTTCCTAAAGATTTATTCTGAATTTCATCAGAAAGAACAATTCGGAGCAATAAAATTTATGGTGAGTGGGCTAGTTCAACAGCTAAAGTTAGCATTCTTAAAAGACAGTAACAACAGTCCTCTAGATAAACTCAATGACAAGAAATAATATAATACATTGAGATGGACTCATATATCAAAATGAAGAAATATGACATTACTTGTTATAATAATTAATATTCCTATATTCTGTCTTTGTTTTAACAATTTTTTTAGAAAGGAAAACTTTAGCAAAGTTACCTAACATATTTTAATGCACTCTTTGCCTAGAACATCATAATCAGTTTCATATCCAATGAAATAGCAGTTTACAACTGTTTTGGTAAAACAGAAGTGCGAATTTTTATTTAAGGCCATTTACAAAGAGCCATAGTGGTATATGAAGCAAATTTTCTCTTAATTGGTTGGAAACGATATATGGTTAAAGAAATTTTGTGGAAGTCTTATTGTAATTCAGTTATAAAGTTATTATGATGCCGAGTACTTGTGCCTTGTTGTTAAAGTGCTTTTGCTCTGTACCCTGTAGTCAGTCTTCCATTTGTAAACACATCTTTTTGATGTTTCTGCCAACATCCTGGCAACAAAGCAGTGCAATTTCAAATGAGCTAATTAACTTAATTGTTGATGAAGCATGAAACAGTTCATTCACCCTGTTAGCTGCACCATGACAACATAAGAGTCTCAGCCTGTGGAGTTACTCATCTCCATAAACCTATTTGTAACTCTCTGCTTAGATTTCTTGTATACCAGAATTGTGCATGGAAAATGTTTTATGAAAGATGGATATTCTCACTTGAATAAGAACCCT